TGGGGCTGTTTGTTTTTTCCTTTCAGTGCATTTGAGTTCCTTGTAGATCCTAGATGTTAGACCTTTGTCAGATATAGAGTTGGCAAATATTTTTTTCCCATTCTGTAGGCTGTCTCCTTGCTCTCTTGGTGGTTTCACTTGCTTTGCAGAAGCTCGTTAGTTTGATGAGATCCCACTTGTCTATCTTATTTCTTAAGGTATAGGCATTTAGGGTTTTGAATTGGAATTGGTTGCCAGTTCCAATTTCCATAAGGGTGTCTCCTGTGTTTTTTAATATTCTTATAGTTTGAAATTTTACATTTAGGTCTTTGATCCATTTAGAGTTAATTTTTGTGTATGGTGATAGATAGGGGTCCTGTTTCAAATCTTCTGCATATGGTCAGCCAGTTTTCCCAGCACATTTACTCAACAGGTCCTCCTCTCCCCAGGGGTTGTTGTTGGAGGCTTTGTCAAAGATGAATTGGTTGAGGAATTGGAGCTTTGCTTCCAGAATCTCTATCCTGATCCATTGGTTTATGTACCTGTTCTTGTACCAATACTAGGCTGTTTTGATTACTGTAGCCTTATAGTAAAGTTTGAAGTCTGGAAGTGTGATTCCTCCTGCTTTGTTTCTTTTGCTAAGGATTGTGTTGGCTATTCGTAGTTGATATTGTAATTTTTAGGCTCTTTGGTATAAGGCCTAGTCCTAATCACTCCATGGGTTCTTAATATACTGCAGTGTGACTATCTTAAACTTTTCAGTATTAAGTCTCTTAAATTACCTTTCTGACATTTTAGAATGGAGTAATCATTGTGTGTGCCTAAATTAACAGGTGAACCTCTTCAAGGCAGAGAGAGAGAAAGAGGAAAAGAGAGAGTAAGCAATTTCTTTCCCTGACAAAACCTCTAGAAAAAGGAATAGTCAGTCATCATAACTTTTATTTCATTTATTTCACCACTAAAATGAGTATGATGTAGGGGCCGGCGGCAAGATGGCGACCGGGCAACCTGGTGTCTGAAGCCCTCTACAAGGGAGATCTGCAGTGGGTCTCTGACTCTCGC